AATGCTGTTGTCAGATTTATACATAAAATGTACAGAATATTGTTTATTTGTTTTAAAAAGCTTCCAACAATGGAAAAAATTCGTGCACCTGCCTCTAATACATAATTGCCAGTAGTACGATTTGAAATTACATTTCTTTTTCAAAACAAATATCCCATTTTTCAATCTTTGATTCAAATTATTGAATAAAAATGGAATATGTCAAAATTTGTCAAAATATGATGACAAAGTAAAAGTGAAGCGACGCTGCCACATGTCAAAAGCATGGGATATTTGTTTTGAAAAAGAAATGTAATTCCAAATCGTACTACTAGCAATTATATGTTAGCGAGGTACACGACTTTTTTTCCTATTGCTGGAAACTTTTAAAAATAAATAAAGAATAATCTGGACTTTTTATGTATAAATCTGACAAGAGTTGCAAATGCATGATTTGCACACTGATGACAATTTGCCAAGTGACACTTTTTTTTTCAGGTAGATTTTTTTTTAACATTCCCATGACACCGTGTGCGAAATGATTCTCCAGTGAATTGGTAAAAATATCTATAAGAAAACGGGAACAGACCTGGGTAATTTGGGGTTATTTACATGCTTCTTTGAACTTTAATAGCGCAAAAACAGCTGGACCAAATATCAACTTTACAATATGGTATATTTGGAATCAGAAGACAAAAATTTATCATTTTAGCGAAAAATATACATTTAATAAAAATATATATTTTTTCTACTGACGTTTCATAATAGCAACTTTTCGATTGTCATTTTAGTTTTGAAACGACATTCTTTTAAGCACTCAGTGCGTAAAAGTGACTTTCAAGTGCGTAAAAGTAACTTTCAAGTGCGTAAAAGTGACTTTCAAGTGCGTAAAAGTAACTTTAAAGCACTAGTGCCTAAAAGTGTCATTCATTGTTCAGAAATAAAAAACACACTAAACACAGATTTGAATTTTGTTTTGTATTTATTATGAATATTAGTCACCACCATGAAAGGTGTCAAGCAAAAGCAGGTGACAAACATTGAAATAAAATTGTGTTTTTTTATTATGAAACGCAAGTAGAAAAAATCTTGTATACAATACATTACGAAACGAAGTCTTTTAGTCACTCGACGTGTTGTCCAACTCGGCTTTGCCTCGTTTGACAATTTCCACGTCGCGTGCCTAAAAGACGCTCATTTCGCAACTTATTGTATAGACTAAATCACGATAGAAAGTGAAGTTGACAGTTCGCGTTGACATTTTTAGTAAACTTTTTCTTTAGGTTGTCAGCATGCGTTAGCGCTTCGATTCCGTCAGCTGGGATAAACGACAGGGTCGTATTTAGAAAAGTGATATACATTTCAGAATAAAAATGTATTTTCAATTTCTTTAAAGGAAGTTAAGTTATTAAAATCCAAAAATCCTAATTTTAGTCCAAAGTAAACACTTATAATAGAGAGATATCGGTAATCCAAATAGTATCATGCAGTATTAGCGCCTACGTTATTTTGACATTAAACCTATGCGCGATTCGATTTTTAACACTACGTACTAAAATAACGTTACCGCATAACGTAATTTACCCAGCATTTACGTTAAGCGCTATTTCGAATAACGCCTAAAAATGACGCCGTGGAAAATAGGTTATGTTATGTTTATTGTTTATTTTATTATTTTTGTTGTAAAAAAGCAAATCCTCTGTCCCTGACCATAAACAACATACAGCACAAATCATATCACAACAAGGTACAAGTTAGGCTACGGTTAAAAAATAACGGATGCGAACAGGCAAATTTTACGTTAAACTGTTTTCCGATAATTCCAATTTGAAAGTATGATACCGCTTTACTTTTAAAAAAATAACTCCTGACGTTATTACCGTCCATACGCGCTATCTGGTTCACCGATATCTCTCTATTAAGAGTAAACACTTAAATCCAAACTAAAACCAGGTTTGAAACGCAACACCGAAACACAAAGGCACAGAACACTACATAAAAAACCAAAAAACCGATTGCGATAATAACAAATAAAAAAATAATGCAGTAAACGGCAAAAAACTGAAAGATTTCACACAAAAATTCGAAATTCAAAATTCAAAGACCCGAATCTGTTATTTTTATGTGTCAAATCAAAATGTCATGTATCATTATTTGATAGTTGTCAGAAAAAGGGACAGATCTGGGGATTTTATTTATTTTCAACTGGTGAAAATAACGGTCAAAATTCAAACTCTCTCGTGAATACGACTATATGAATAGCTATTTTTGTTTCTGAGAACTATTTTTCAAGCACTACACCTTTCCTCGAGCCTTTCCTGTTTACATTTTTTTTTACACAGTGATACAAAAAAGTTAAGGGGGGTTGGAAAATATAACAAAATTACCCTATACATACACTACTCCTTGTCGTAGGGTGCTGTAAGGGGTATGTATCAATGAAGTAGTAAGAAGGTTTGGAATGGTCCCTTATAGGTTTTTTACGTTATATTTAGGATGACGTCATAGAACAAAAAGAGACAATGTTGTCAATGCCTATTTTTTTCTTATAATTTATCAGAATGTCACGTGACAGTAGACCTATCTATTTTACCAACCAAAGAGGTAATAATACGGAAACTTCATTAGATAAAAAAAGACACAGAACGCTCATTGCGCAAGACGAGGCAAAATGTACCAAATTTTGTTAAACTTACGTATGGCAATCCATCCTCCTTATTTGCACGGGATAAAAAGAGAAGAAGAAAAACTGCGTGTTTTGCAACGTATTTATCAATGAAAATTTCAAACTACTTTCGAGTGTCACGTGTCAAGCTATGTCAAGTTGAATATCAACCGTATTTTTATTTTTGTCAGACCACGAGCAATGAACAAGGACAAGGAGATGTCCAGCGTGCAAAACGAAGACTTCACACCTGGTACTAGTTAGCTAATAAAAAGACTTGCCTCATGTTGCGCGCGCATACCAGGTAAAAATAGATAGGTCTTTTCTGTCAAACGGAACGGAAAATAGGTAATTTACTTACATGCCTCACAGCAGTAAGAAGCAAAAATGGTTGCGTTCCTGCTGGAAATACGTTATTAAGTATACTACCCTTTCCTGAGGCCGACTCCGACAAACCTGCTGGCATTTTCTGAGTAAGTTTACGCTACGAAGAAGTACTGAATTCTTGAAAGAACTTTTTTCTAACTGTAACTTATTTTTGGCACTTAATTAGAATTATACAAAATAGTATATAATAAATTATCAAGACGACTGACAGCTTAAAATAACGAAATGAATCGACACGCATTATTTGAAAATGTTTATAAAAATCGATATAAATCATGCAACGTCGCGCGCCGCTGCCAACCAAAAACATCTGAAATTGCCCTACTTTAAATGCGTTGAAAAGTACTTTTAGTTTTGTTAGGTTGGCAGCAGAAATTTACTAAATATGACGTCATCCTAAATATAACGTAAAAAGCCTATACCTATCTACTTAATATATATATTGGCGGCCAACATTAGAGTGAGAGAACAGAAGAGATCCATGAGATTTTCTGCCCTTACTAGCGCTATCTCACTCAGGGTTAGAGTGAGAGATTCGGGATATCCAATAGATTTTCTGCCCTTACTAGCGCTATCTGATCCTGAACATAATTTGAGTGACGCAAAGCCTATTCCAAACCTTCTTACTGCTTCATTGGTATGGATACCAAATTTAGGGAACCACTTGTCGTAACACTGTCAAAAAAATTACTCATAAGTTATTATCCTATGTCGACTGGACTTGTGCATTGTTGTTGGTAAGCGTATAGTTGCGCGGAGGGAATTTTTGGCGCAGACTTCACACTACTTGGCCTGCTAAGTGTATGGTTCTTTCCAGAATTTTGTTGGGAAGGTGTATTGTTAGTTGAAACAATGGAAGAAAGAAATTAATTGCTCACTAGTGTATTTTTATTTATTTTATACTGATTCGCTTATAAGCAAATTTAATATTGTATTGACTGATTTAAATATAGTTTTATACATATATTAGTTGTTTCTTTTGTTTTTTTGAGAATCAATATTTTATTTATTTACATAAAATATTAATAAAAATTTCTTTTTAACGAGCAAGAATAGCTATTTCTGTCATAAATATAGGGTCGTCCAACAAGTAATAAACAGGAGAAAAGTTTTGACTTTTCCTATATTAGCCAGCTTGCGATCGCGGCTATAAAGTGATGTGGTGTACACATATCATACAAGAATTTATGTCTGATGACCAATTGCTCTCGTATAGCATTAAAAAAGAATTTGCTTTCGTATTTATTTTCCTGAAACCATATAGGGTTTTCGAAGTTATTCTCTATATGAAAATCCGATTTTAGGGTCTGCATAGAATCGTGACAGTACATGGTTCATGCCTTTTTTGCTAATTCGAACTACCATCAATGCTATAAAAAAAAAAGCTGCTACGAACGATGGCATCAAAATTCCTAGAGGCTCTACCAGACATCGCTATTATGATCCTAGCTGATTTCATTAACACCTCCTTTATGTCAGTTACTTTAACACCCTCCTTCAAAAACGCCATAGTTACTCTGTTGTACATACAAAAGTAGTGATCAATCTTCTCCATCAAACTATAGGCCCATCTCTTTCTTATCTACTCTCTCGAAATTGGTCGAATCTCTTGTGAAGTAGGGTTTTGTTGCCCATCGCAACGGAAATAATATCATCAGAGTGGCATAAGAAAAAAGAACCATTAGCATCTGAACTTGAAATTTATTGGCTCGGAGGAAGCAGAGCAGGATAGATGCAAAAAACCTTATATCTGAAATGTATAATCCATGGGTATATATAAATCAAGCCAGAATGTGAAGTTAAGTTTTGGCTTTCAAAATATACCCAAAAAGCAACAATGAAAATTGCCGACAAACTTTTGTTAAGCTATTGAAAGTATGTGCGATGTTTTCATACACTTATCTTACTAAACATTTTATCTATTCTGATATTGTAGAAACAGTTAAAAACAAACACTAAATTATTTCAGAAATAAAGTTGACGAAGTGGAAGATAAAGAAGACATCAAACCCTATAAAAAACCTAAAGACGACTTGGAAATTGTTACTAAAAGGACGCTTAACAATTTCATTTTATATGCAAGTAGTTAATATTATTTATTTATTTTTTAATTAATTTATATTTTTTCCAGGCTGAACACGTTAAAAAGAATCCAGCCTTATATAAGGGTAAGTTTATCTGTTTTAAAAAGAATATGTATCTATTAAGTTATTTTTTTTTCATGCAGAAAAACCAGTTGAAACAACAAGAGAGACTTCCAAGAAAGACATATATGCCTTCAAACTACCATCAGGCAAAGTTTGTGGTGTCAAACTATATAAGAACTGGCCTCCTATGCACACAAACGAGTACGAAAGGGCCATTTATGACGAAAAAGTAACTAAGTTCCATTTTTTATTAGTTGATTATTTATTGATTAATTGGCTAGCGAATCGATTGTGGCAAGTCAAATTTGATATTGTACCTATTGGGCTGAAACCTGGAATCAACTTACCATAACAACAAGTCTTGCAAAAGTTGTTTCAGTCAAAAACTGCGTCCGTTGCACTTTCAAAGAAACTGAAAAAAATATCCGATCCAATCAACAAAATGTCCCGAACTGGAAACAGTTACAACCAACATAAGGAGATTAAATGCGTCTCAATTCTCCCCTATTGATACTCCTTAGTGGTAATGAGATGAATGAAACAAAGAATAAAAAGACTTCGGGAATATCCTAAATCCTTTGCTGTTCATTACTACTCTATAGCAGCCTCACTATAAATTTCAGGTGAAAAAAGCTTGCCCCTTATAGGTTGAGTAAGACAACAAATGACAGTTGAATACTGATTTATTAATTGAAAAATATCACAATTTATATTAATCTAAGTCAAAATAATTTAAATAATAATTTTTCTAATTACTATCTAATCTTGTTTGGAATATTAGTGAGGTCGGCACTTTTCGTGTCCTGACACGACACCCTGATTTATGTAGCCCGTAAATTAGAAGTTTTCTAGTTTGCAGGTGGATTACTATTATTAGGCCTGTTCGCAGAGCAATCACAAACCAGTCAGAGCGAATTTCATTGGTTGAAAACAATCAGAAACAGTCAGAAAACTAGTTTCAACCAATGAGATTCACTCTGACTGGTTTGTGATTTTTCTGCGAACAGACCCATTATTATCCATTCCACCTGCACGCTAATTTAAGGGCTATTTAAGCCATCCTGTATACTATTTTATTTTCAATATGCCTACTACAGAACTTTAAATTGTCTTGCAATAATCGATTAGCGCAAAAGAAAAGAAACTTTAGTCCAGTCATTAGAGAGTTTTAGCTCGCAGAAGGTGGCTCAGTTGCAAATTTGACATATGTTGTTTGGTGATTGGTGTCCACGGTTGGTTCGTCTTTAGTTGGAGCTGGCTTCCTCCGCCATCTTCGATTAAGTGTGCACAAAAATAGATTTTTTAAGGTAACTCGTAAACGCTTGATTTTAGGAAAAAAGTTTAAAAGCCAAAATCAAAGAGGCCCCCAAGGTCAAAAAACTCAAAACATTTTTTAGGGCTTCAATTTAAACAACAAACGTCAAAATCGCGAATATGCCACCTTTTTCAAGCTGATGGTCTTTTTTTTTTTTTTTGCTCTTATGACTGTTCTACTTGGGCAAATTGCTCAATTGTATTGCTTTTCCTCAGATTGCTAATGCAGCTCTGGAAGCTGAAACTATACTTACCAACGAAACAAAAACGTTTGAAGAAATTGAGATGGAAGTTGTTCCGGACATTGAAATTACCGAAAGTGACCTGAAATCGATAACTGAACTAAAAGACATGGATATGGATGCGAGAAAGCGCAGACTAGCTAGACAGTATATAGAATCCAGGCTGGTTAAGTGGGATTTTAAGATAAAATGTAATTTAGGTTTGGATTCGGCTTTACCAGATATCGCTTTGAATACTTTGAAAGAGTTCACAGAATTTGAGGAGGACTTGGACGCGTTAATGTTCAAGAAAAATCCTCACGTTTTGGATACTCTGAGAAGGTAATACTTGACCATATTTGTTAGATTTGGTAATTGATTCATTATTTCGCAGATTAAGAAAATATGTTGGTAACGCAAGAGAATGGAATATAAGCGATAGTGACTTGGAAAAATTTATTGAAAAAGCTGCAAATATTAGAACAGAAGCTGGCTTAATTTACAACAGAATACAGGTAGGACTTTTTTAAGGCTTTTCTCTGAACATGTTTCTATTTAAAATGTTTTAATTCTAGACACTGTTTCCAATTGACACAACAGAAGGTGTATTTTGGGATTCTTTTATGGATGTTGTCTCTGACTTTAGAATGAAGTGTAAAGAGCTAACAGAGGACCAGGTCATGGCATTGTGTGATGAACCAGGTATTTTTTTTTTACATTTAATTTCAAGACGTCTTTATGGATAAATTTATATTATTTTCAGATACTAGATTAGCGTTTTTTGACATGCTTCTCATAAAACCGACCAAGGATGAATCTGGGGAAAAAGAGGAAAAAAAATAATCCCATTCAGGATTATATTATGTATATTTAAGCTCAACTCGTTTATTTTGTAAAAAAAAAAAAAAATATTTTTTTTTGAATTTACAAATATGTTATAGGTCATTATCATTATTGTTTCAAAATAATTTGAAGTTAGGTAAAATTTCAATATAGGACTTTCTCAGAGATAAGTGATTTTTTTTTTTCAGAGAAAAAATATCAAATTATCAGAAATCTGAAAAATGTCCGTTTTGGGATAGTTACCTGTACATACTTAGCAGAATTACGATTTCCAGTCCTATTAATTTGAAGTGTTCAATCAATGTACAAAAATTGCTCAGTTGAATTTCAGATGAAAAAGATTTAAAGGATTTTTTAGCAACAAACCGTCTGTAACCGTGTTATAAACGGTAACTGAAAGTACATCATATTTTCAGTTACCGTTTATAACACGGTTAGTCGCTAAAAAATCTTTCTAATGAGTAGTAAACTTTTGGCTTTTGGTCAATTTTCCCAAAATTTATAATTTTTTTCAAAATGTATTTGAAACAAAATCAAAACTACAGAATTTTTAAGTCCTATTTTGAACAAATAGGCTTTTTTACATTGGTATGTTTTCGAGGGGACTGTCACTGTCCAATTGAACCCAATTTTTCTTACCTAGCTCTAAAACCCAGTTCTACTATTCACTATAAAATACTATAAGAAAACTTGTGTATTATTTGTGAATCTGCTTAATATAGGAACTGTGCAATCGTCCATCCACATCCAACTGGTTTTTATTTTATTGGAATGAAGCCTCAAACTACTAATTACAGAAACCAAACAGCAATTCCGAAGATGCTACTACCACCTTCAAAAATAAGTCCCAAGTCCGTATTTGAAAAAAAAAATCATATTATGCAGCGCTGTACATGTGGTATAAGTGAAACTTCTAGAGCTTCGTTGTGTGTATATGCTGCTCTCTCTTGCTCCACTCTTGTAGCATCAGGCATCAACTGTCACACTATTCTCTTCCATTGCCTAGTATTCAGTGAATACATGGCTCTCTCTCTCTTGCTTGTACCGGGTTTTTTTTAATCATTTTGATCACCTGTAACTTTTTTGTTTTTAGAGATATCAAGGTAAACAAAAAAACAAAATGTAGGGTTAGTAGCCAAGTTTTTTTTCAAGTTACACATAAAACAAAACACTATCAATTTTTTGACATATAAGCCTACATTATATTTTTTCAAATGGAACACCCTGTATATTATATGTGTGTTCGATAGAATATCTTATTCTGATTACAATGATATAACACACTCCATATTTCAGTCCACTCGTTTTTGACAAATCCGTAAAAATATATGAAGTTTTTATATACACTCTCAATAATTCTCGTCCCAAATATCAGACCCCTGCCTAATAAGTTTCACTTTGAAAGTTTCATATTTTTGCCGATCTGCCAAAAATGAGTGGACCAAAATATGAAGTGTTTTATATCATTGTAATCAGAATAAGATATTCTATCGAACACACATATAATATACAGGGTGTTCCATTTGAAAAAATATAATGTAGGCGTATATGTCAAAAAGTTGATAGTGTTTTGTTTTATGTGTAACTTGAAAAAAAACTTGCTATTAACCGTACATTAGGTTTTTTTGTTTACCTCAAAAACAAAAGAGTTACAGGTGAACAAAATGATATCAAAGATAAAAAAAACACCCAGTACAATGCTTCCTAATCAGGGCCGTATCTAGACCAAAATTTTGGGGGGGGTTAGGCAAAGTGGCAAAAAAAAATTGTTACACTAGTAATAAAAAAAAAAAAAAAATAAATAAGTAGGAGCTCCCCGTCGTACCATCGGGCTGGGACGATCGGGGGTCGGATAACGGACGCATGACACTCCGGTCTTTCACGTTTACAGTAGTGATAATAGTGATATACACGGTTTCTTTTTTTTTGGGGAAAATATATGAGAAAGAGTCTCATATTAAACATGCTAATAATGAGATATGAGAAACAGTTAAAATATATGAGTCTCATATTAAAAATAGGAGGTCTGGCAACCCTAGCCATGATATTGGACCAATAGGAATACTCAACGGACTGACGGAAAAACGGATGCATGAAAACTAAGCGTTAACCATTTTACTCTTTTCACTCTGTGATCACGTGACTATGAAACTGCTCTTTATCCGCTCCAACTCCGTTTTGCCAAGCCGAACTCACCTTATGTTATGTTTCGTTTAAAGATGACACTGACTTGACTCTTTTTGTCATTTTTGACACCTCAAAAGGGTCGATATACACAATAGGAAAATGCGTACCAGTTTTTTAATTGGCCAAATGTATATTCTAAACTACGACCGCTGGCTCAAACTGCTGACGACGTAGTTGATGACGTCGTCCGATAAGCAATCCTGTAGTAGTGTAGTTTTAAAACAGGTCAAAAGAACGAATTCCTAAACGTTATACCTAAGGTTTGTTCAGACTTGGTTCAAAATCAGTTCTAAATTGAATTGGCTTGCGCATTTGTATACGTTCGATATAATTAAATGCGCAAGCGCAGTTCAATTCAGAACTGATTCTGAACTAAGTCCAAACAATAATATCACCTTTTTTACATTTGAAATCGACGAAAAAGCAAGCACAATAGCACAACAATCGGTTGCATCCCATCGAGGCCTGCGGGTGTCGCACCACTATCCGGGTGGGGCTAAATTCAGCTGGTGTAGGCACCGTGGTAGAGTGGTGAAATGGTAGAAAAAGAATAGAAAAAGCCAGTGTTGTTGAATCGAACAGGGTTTGGCAAGCTGTGGTTTGGCATTGGCATTAGTGAATCATAATCACCGGATCCGTTGTGTGGCGGTGCAACGTTTTCGTGAATTTAGCCACACGCGATATAAGCTGCTAATCGTGGTGACGTCACTCGCAGACCCTGCCGGCGCGAGAATTGGCGAACGTACGCCTCATGAGGATGTGCAATCCTTTTGTTAACGAATCTTGTCAGAAGCCCATACTTCGATATAAGTTTCAAAACTGATCACGTGGGGCTGTTATCTTTTTCTTCGCTGAAGGATAACCGAACTCCCCAATTCCTTTTCTTCACTCTTCACTTTTATCAAGGGCTGGAAAGGAGACCCGACGAGAGATCAGCGTGGAATTACCACAGGTATAACACGAAATCGTCTTCCGCCGACCGCCCGAAGTGCACACAGTAGTAGTACTAGTACCAGTGCTGCCAATCCTTCGCACCTAAATTCTCCACCTTGACCAATCAAATCAAAATTTGCTTTATTATCGAAGACATACAATCTTATTGACAAAGCCAAACTTAAATCTATAAACACAGCAATAAAATTCTCCGCATTTTGCTGAAATTCCCCGCTTTTAAGTCTAGTACTCATAACTGCGAAATTCGCATTTTGTGACATTGCGTTGACAATTTGACGTTTTATGCGTATATCAGACGTCAAATTGTCGAAGCAATGTCAAAAAAATGCGAACTTCGCAGTTATGAGTACTAGGCTTTATCAGGTCTGTTCCAACAAGCCAAAAACCGTCCCATGAACGGTTCTGAAACCACTCTGTATAAAATTTTGGGCTTTGCGCAGGATTGTGTCGGTACTGTGTACGGTTTTTCTGTTGTTGGAACAAAGCGATAATTTTCGTGTTTCTTGAGAAATAGTCGAACCGTTTTTAATTGTCGATGATTGTCGTTTCTCGTTGGCCTTACTTTAGAACGTGCCTTATTAACCATTTATTCATTTTTAAGAAATTCAAAAATTTTAAATTGACCTTTTGCTTGGACGCCATATTGCGGTGCGCGAACAGAGCTGCCAAAAGAAGAAAACAGAAATTACTAACGGGTTGTCAACATTAAAAACAAAAGTAACTAAATGATTGATCCTCGCTATCCTTTCTGTTTATTTACTTCCCTTTTTGATTCTATAAACAATAAAGCCTATAGTACTCGTAACAGTCGTAACCGCGAAATTCGCTCATTTTTGACATTGCTTCGAAAATTTGACGTTTGATTCACGCACAAAACGTCAAATTGTCGAAGCAATGTCAAAAAAAAGCGAATTTCGCGGTTATGAGTACGAGGCTTGAGAAAGGAAACTGAAATTTGGTAAAGTGAATAGGTAGATATTTTATTATTTCCATTCTGTACAATACAAGTTAAAATTGATGGCTTTTCTTTTCAAAAACATTCGTAATAGGCGGCAAATTTAAATTTTAAATGTAATTTATTCAGTAACTTTTGTTTTTAATGTTGACAGTACTCTAGTGTTTTTTTTTCTAGTTTTGGCAATTATGTTCGCGCACCGCAATATGGCGTCCAAACAAAAGGTCAATTTAATGGATGGACGTTATGAGAGGTCTGTTCCAACCCGCCAAAAAAAAACGTTTCTAGAACGGTTTCGCAACCGAATCTCGGATTCTACGCAAAAATTTTACGTTTTACACTAAATCCTGAAGGTTAAATGTACGGTTCCCTGCTGGAGCTGGGTTCGGCTATTCAGCGCGGAGTTGGAGTGGAGTGAACAGAGCTAATGGAGTCACCCCTAATACAGTAAAAAGCAATACCCGAACCTTAACCCGAACGGCTGGAGTGCGAATGGAGTCACTCGGAGTGAGCAAGCCGAACCCACCTATCGTTGGAACCATTGACGTTGGAACAATGCTATGGTATGTCATAGCCGCTTTCCAGTATGGGAGTTTGACGCCCGGAGCTACTCGGGGCGTTGAGCCCCCGAGCTGTACGTACGCGTCAACCTGTCAGCTGTCACATCCGTGAGTGAGATTTATTTATTTATTTCTTGTTATATCTCAAGATTGAACCTTTTAAAATATATAGTTTTGATTCTCTTTCATTTATGGTAAATAAAAAAACAAACTGCACAAACAAACAGATAATTATTTTTAAAATTTGTCATATTTGACACTAAGACAGGCGTCTCACGTCATGATACTGGAACGGTACAAATCTAGTGCGTGGCGCCCCCGAGGTGCTCTGGAGCGCGCCAGAGCGCGTCAATGTGCATACTGGAAAGCGGCTCATGTCATTTATGTTTAAACATATCGCGGGTCTCCGAAAGGGTCTTCAAAAAAAAAAACCAATCACGTATGTCTTAGCAATATTTTTCATCATCACCTGTTTGTACCGAATCATTGAATCCCAAATACCAAATATCTTCTTAAATTTTTATTTTAGCTGAAATTTTGAATAAATTTTAATTTTTACATCAAGATAAAAAAATATGTCCGCACAATTCTCCTCAAAAAGTGAATCTCCGCACAATTAAACTGTGTTGACCAATGAACTATAACCAAAAACTGGAATGCTAACACATAAGGGCTGTTTTCGATTCGCTTTGGTCCGTCTTCAAGGCGAACCAAATTAGAACCAACCGTTTTCGATTGCAAACCGGTGACGTGACAGGCATCGCTTGGTCCGTCTAAATTCGAACCAGCTTTGCGAGTTGGTTCGAATTTTGGTTTGAATTTTGGCTTGCTTTCATAACCTTAAAACATGGCGTCTTTCTTGACAGACCAAATTGAAAAGCTGTCAACCAACATCTGTCAAATCCGAACCAACCAAGGCCGAACCGGGCTGCGAATCGAAAACGGCCAAGGACGAACGTGATCCCTAGTGCGGCTGCTGCGGAGGGGATACCTGTTTTTGTCGCACTCATTATGTTAAATGGCGAAAATTGCTTCCAACACGTATTCCAATTGATGAAACCTGTGAAGGGAAATATGACAAAACTTTCGAAAACGTCATATGTCAGCGAGGCGAGCAACAGAAAAAAACAACATTCCCCGTTGTGGCATCTGTCTTTCATGGCTTCATTTTTTTGGCAGATATGGCACTGTGTGCGCATTCCAGTTTTTAGCTCTAGTTCATTGGTGTTGACAGTGTTTTGGTTTATCTACAACTATTCAAGAACAATTCTGGGATTGTTCTGAAACTGTTCTTCCAGTTCTTGCTCTGAAGGAGAAATAATTGCTTTAGAATTTTGTGATTTGCGGCGTGTTTTGGTTTTTTTTGGTTCCGAATTGGTTCAGAAGTAGTATTAGAACAGCCCTCTAATATTTTTTGTGCGCAAGCAGTTCTGCGCTATCCCAGAACCGTTCCAAATTTTGAACCAAAACAAAGCTACTGACTGACTAGTACTAGTAGTACTTTTACTTTTTAGTTTTTGCGCAACCCTCTCGGCCAGGGATGCTATCAGCACTAAAAAAATTGTACCAGAAACGAGGGAATACGTACTAGATTGGCGACGTGTACTAGCAGAAAGCGCGTCAAATTTTGAAATTTGAATACAAATGTAGGCTCTGCTAAATGGGGGGTAAATATCACTTATTTTAAGGTCGGTTTCTCAATAGCGAGTCACCTGCGGGTTGGTTTTAACTCCATGGTAAACGTGTCCAGTTGCAATGTTTACAGAGTTGTCCTTAACCGGGGGTGACTCGCTATTGAGAAACTGGCCCTGAATCATAGGAATAAATAAATTTCTACATATTTAGGGCGGGTATTATAAAACTGCTTTGACAGTTAACTTGAAGTTAACTTTTTGAATTACATGTAATTCCAGAAGTTAACTTTAAGTTAACTCTCAAAGTAGTTTTATAATACCCGCCCTTAGTTATAAATCGACTACCGATCACCATGATCGGCTAAATAACCGAATAACCACCGATACATGACACACGGCAAGTCACAGAATAAATATAAAAAAGTGCGTGTGCGTTCGAAACGTCAGTTTCTTGTTTAGCTTTAAGCCACACCGTAGTGGGACCTGGAACGTTGAACCCAACCCACAAATAGAGAGTGGAGCTCAGAACTCGGGTACGGTACAGAGCGAAGAGCGACACTCGACTCGTAATCCTAATTGTACTAGATTTATGAGAGAGGTACTGGCGTACTAAAATCTGTTTTTTCTTTTTTAAGATAAAAGTCAAAATGACAACATGTTGGCAATATAATGTAAAATTGTCAATGCTTTCAAATTTTTTATGTAGAAAAGGCTTGCGTTGCCAACATAGTTAAAGTGCGTTTTTTTTTAAAGATAAAAGTCAAAATGACATTATGTTGGCAATACAATGTAAAATTGTCAATGCTTTCAAATCTTTTATGTAGAAAAGACTTGTGTTGCCAACATAGTTACTAAATTTTTGACTTGGGGAATTATCTTTAAAAAAAAAAAAACGAACTTTAGGTGAAACGTGATTGTGCTAGATCTAGTACAATTGTACTAGAAATAGCATTCCTGCTTTCGGCAGCATTTTTAAGTTTTTTTACTGCAAGTTTTTTTAAGGTCAAGTTTTTCGCCACAGTAGTAACGCCATCTCTTGGTACCGGAATTTCACGTTATTCAACAGCAGAGATCTTCTTTTTCGTACATGATTCTTGGAAAGCTCTAGCAACAGTAGCAACACTGAATTTTAACCAATCATAAGCATCCAAATGAATATTGAAGGAAAATCACCCATAAATTCCATACAAATACAGTCCATAACTTAATTTGAACGTCTATTTTGTACAATCGACCAGTGGAAGCATTACAGCGCCATTTTGTCGATTGTAATTGACCAATCTTCTCAAATCTCAATTTGTTGTTTGTTTATTGTTTTTCCAGAAATTTTAAGGCAAATGGAAGAAGTGAAGCCGGAACAGCCCGAGTTGGTCCAGATCGATTTAAATAAACTGTGCAGGGCTTGTTTGAATGAATCTAGTGAAATGAGGTCGATTTTCCTGCCAGATAGTTCTACAGGCGAGAGTCTGGTTATTGCTGATATGCTTATGGATTTCGCAAATATCCAGGTAGGATTTTATTAGAATTATTAATTGAATATTGTCAGCAATTCTAGAAAGCCGTTTCAAACTAATTAGCATCAGAAAAATGGTTTAATAATTGGAGCACAAATACAGAAAGAAAAAAAAACATTTTATTTTAGGTTGATAGTGAAGATGGCCTTCCCATTCTTGTATGTCTTCCGTGTGCAGTCCAAATTGGCCGAGCGTATGCATTTAAACAACTTTGCGAACAATCCGATTCGAGCCTTAGACAGTATTTGGGCAAACCTCTTTTAAAAAAACATGAAATAAAAGACAATGAAGAAATTGCCACCCCTCCAGCTTATTCCGTTTCAATTTTCGATGATTTAGTCATGGATTCTACTTCCTCTGAAAGTGATATTGATGACCAGTTTAAGGATTTATTGCCGGAAATGCCTAGTGATCCTACTAGTGAAAAAATAATTGCCCAACAACAGCTTTTAAAACTAGCAAGAAACCAAAAAAGCCGCAGCAGGAAGAGAAGAGTTAAAAAAAGTTCTATTGCAACACCACAGGGACCGCTGGTGAAAAAACGCCCCATTAGCACTTGCAACGTGTGTAAAAAGAAGTTTTTAAATTTTAAAGCTTTTAGAAAACACTTGAGGACCCATATTGAAGATCGTCCATTTAAGTGTAAACAGTGCAGCAGGAGTTTTACAGAAGAAAATTATTTGAATAATCACATGAGAAGTCATTTGCCTGAAGAAGAGAAACCACATGAATGTAATATTTGTAAAAAACGGTTTATACATCCTACAATGTTACAGAAACATCTACTGAGGTAAATATTTCTCATTTTTTAAACAATTACCAAATAATAATAATAATAACTCAATAGATAAATCCTCGGATAAATCAAATACTTTATCCCCGACTTTATCATTCCACACAGATCATTATACAGGCTGTTCCAGCCGAGAGTGGCCCATTTTAAATGCTTATAACGTTTAAATCAGGTGTGCTAGCTACCTACGGTTTGCAGCATTCGATTTCTCTTGGCCTGAAGTTTTTTCTATACCTTTTCAACTTCAAATTGGGATCAATCAATTTCAATTTGGAACGTATCAATTTCAAATTGGAACTAATCAACTTTTAATTGGTAATTAACACGTTCAAAATGGGAATAAACAAAATCAAATTGGAAATAAACAATTTAAATTTGGTACTAATCAACTTCAAATTGAAATTATTGTTGAATAGGTGCATTTCAAAGTTTTGCGAGTCAAACGGCAGTTACGCGTTTAATCCGTGTATTTAATTAATAAAATGTCTTATAGGGTGTTCATTTGTACTGCTTTTCTTGTTTCAAGCAGATCGGTGTTATATAAATAAACAGCCTATTTAATTAAAACACCGGATGCAGAAAATGCTAAAAAGCTATTAGGTACTGTTTTTAATAACAATGGCGACTAAAGAGGATTGGCTAACACACTGGGTATAAAAAAATCTACTGCTTATCGATGGATAGGTACCCAAGAAATTGTTCGAAGGAAACGTGGGGGACAAAGAAAACCAAACATTTTAGAACAACATGAGGTATAAATGACTGGATACATAGAGGAAAATCTTGAAATTACGCTGGAAAAAGAAAAATTTGAACAAAATCTCATTTTGATGAAATGTTTTCATTCGGGCTTAATGACCGTCGTAAGTTGGAATTTCTTCCTGACGCACATGGAAGCACCTCTGAAGATCTTAGCCACGCGAGCTAGCGAAACATGAAGAAGAAATTCCAACTTACGACGGCCATTTAGCCCGAATGAAAACATTTCATCAATAAATCCGGACCGCGAAAGCTTCACAAACTTTCTCAAAATCTCATTTTATTACTGTTCAAAGTCCATTTTTTATTATATATTGATTTTGTTCACTAGCAATCTTTCATTTATATTAATACCTGAATCGAATAGGTCTATTCCCAATTTGAATTTGTTTCTTCCCAAATCAAAATTGATTAGTCCCAATTTGAAGTTGATTAGTACCAAATTGAATATGATTATTTCCAATTTGATTGTGTTAATTCCCATTTTGATATTGTTAATTCCCAATTTAAAGTTGCTTAGTCCCAATTTGAAGTTGAAAAGGTATAGTAGGTTGCAAATTTTTTTGAAACTTATACAGGGCAAGTAAAAAACAAATATCACAACGTCAAAAAAAAAGATTCATGTTCAAGGTATCCGAGAAGGTATCCATGTACGAAGAGACATTGTCCCTAAAACTTGAAGTTTTTGCCGTAAAAAATTGAAATCTTGGTATTTTTTGCAAACGGATATTTTCAAAGCTTGGAACTTTCAACTTATGCTTGCCTAATAAAAAATTAATAAAAACTGAATAAAATACAAAATACTGTATATGTACAGGGTGGCCCAAATTCGAGCCTCATCATTGGGATCTCGGAAACCGTAAGAGATACAGGGTCGGTTAAATTATGACAAAGTTGCGCAATTTCATGACCAATAGAAGGCCGTTTTGAAATTAGAAAGATTCCAAATACTTCCGGAGATATTCGGAAAAAACCGAAATTTTGAAAAATCGTTTTTATTTTTTCCCGGGCTTATTTGAAGAGCAATTTTAAAATAAAGGTCACTTCATCGTTGTCACTTTTTCCCTTTTAGAAGATGGTGCTACTAAATTTGAAATCCGACGTTTCGTCTTCAAGTGGCCATCTTCAACTTACTTTTTTTAAATACGGACCTGGATTTTTTATTTGCGATTATGTCATCTTTGGGCATCCTAAAACCGATAATGTTTATAATTTTTCAATAACACAGTGAAAAAAGCAGGTCTGTATTTAAAAAAAATAAATTGATGATGATTCCAGAGGAACGAAATGTTGGATTTTAAATTTGATACGGCCATCTTGTAGAGAAGAAAAAGTGACAATGAGAATGTGAAATTAGTTTTTCAAAATCTTTTCAAATGAAATCAGGAAAAAAATTTAAAAATATGAGAAATTCATGTTTTTCTCGTATAGTTTTGATTTTTTCCTGATTTTATTTACTTAAAAATATTTTGAAAAACTAATTTCACATTCCGATTGCCACTTTTTCTTCTCTACAAGATGACGGTATTAAATTCAAAATCCAACGTTTCGTTCTTCTGGAATCATCATCAATTAATTTTTTTTTAAATACGGACCTGCTTTTTTTACTGTGTTATTGAAAAATTATAAACATTATGGGTTTAATCTACGTCGGTGTCATTATGACACATTTAGTATTGTCATTTGAATGTCATTAGGTCCTTCATAATAGCACTAGTGTGTTTAAGAATTCATAATAACACCCAAATTTTGAAATGAAAAATATACAAAAAGAAAGTTAGTTGCCAGAAGAACCTTTTCAATAATGCTGTCTCTATATTCGAAGAGACACTTTCGAACTCAGAATCACCAATAATAATATTATTTTCCACTATAAAATTGAATTTATGGCACAAAAATGGACTCCAATATTGAAGCTGCCAAAGTCAAAATTCTAAAAACCAACAAGCAGGTTCTCGACTAGTACGGGCACCTGCTAAATTTCAAATTTTAATTTGAAAAGTTTTTGCTATTTCAAGGCAAATCAAATCTATTTGGACCATTGTAGATTAAATTTTGAATGATACACGTTCGATATGAACTTTATTAATGAAACTTGTGTAACTAAACCACTCGGCTAACGCCTCGTGGTTTAACGTTACACGCGTTTCATTATGGCGTTCATATCGAACTTGTATCATTAATAACTATTAGGATGCCCAAAGATGACATAATCGCAAATAAAAAATCCAGGTCCGTATTTAGAAAAACTAAGTTGATGATGGCTGCCTGAAGACGAAACGTCGGATTTTAAATTTCGTAGCACCATCTTTTAAAGGGCAAAAAGTGACAACGATGAAGCGACCTTTATTTTAAAATTGCTCTTCAAATAAGCCCAGGAAAAAATAAAACGATTTTACAAAATTTAGGTTTTTTTCGAATATCTCCGGAAGTATTCGGAATCTTTCTAATTTCAAAACGGCATTCTATTGGTCATAAAATTGCGCAACTTTGCCATAATTTAACCGACCCTGTATCTCTTACGGTTTCCGAGATCTCAATGATGAGGCTCGAATTTGGGCCACCCATACAGTGTGGGCCAATTTGGACACTTTTAATAGGAAGCGTCAATTTCTGAGCGAGATACAAAAAAAATAACCCCCCATTAAGTAATTCATTGTCTGGTCAACGCTGAGAATCACACTACTCAGAGACAGTTTGTACCTAGCAAACTTGATAAATTTGTGTTGAACACTCTCAAGCCTATTGATGTGAATCTAATAGTAAGGTGACCAAACTATGCAAGAAAATTCAAGAACGGATCTGACCAGTGATGTGTAAAGAATTTTGATGGGGCGTATACTTGTAAAGTCCCCAGTAGCTCTGTTAATAAAACCCAACATTCTATTAGCCGTGGCGATTACCACTTCAAAATGCTTGATGGTGAACATTAAGCTAGTATCTGAATAGACACCAAGATCTTTAGTGACAGATGACAGAAACTTCAGACAAGCGAACATCACCAAAGCAATACTGACCAGTTAGCTGCAGACTATTGGATGATTGAAAGCTTCTTGATTCATCCCTAATGGGCGCTGACTGTAGAGTAGGTTGGAATTAGGATGGGATTGGCGAAGGACCTGTCATCACATTAAATAGCTTATGAGCTCCTCGATAATAATAAACCAGCTTTCAATCTGCATATTACTGAGAGTTAAAAGACGATAAGCATAGAATGTTTCTTCAGCCAGCCTTATAGTACTCCTATAGCTAAAGCGGTATGTTTGAAAATAATCGATTTGTAGTCACATGATATTTTTATTTGTGCCATTTTTTGGTGGTGAGAGCCGAAATCAACTTGAACTATTTTAGTTTACTAAATATAGGAAAATCAATGTTTCTTGGATTGGATTTTCAGAAACGGAAAAACTGTTTCGATGGTATTCCACTATTTCCACCATCAAACTTTTAAAATTAAAAAAAATCCGTATTCAATCTTTTTCTTAAACTGGTTGTTTTTCTGGTAGAGGAAGATTCTCACGTTCTCAGTCCTTCTTGCTGGATGGTAAATTACTCAGTAAATTAAATTATTTGCTTTCAGTGTGCATAGGTACTTATATTTGGCAATCTAATTTTAAGAAGATAGCAGCACATTACTCTGGTTCACCCAATCACATCAAGATGGTAAATGCAATAATAGATTAATTAGTCTTTAGCCTGAATGTAATCCCTCAGCCCATCTTTGGAACGCTGAACTGAGGGAAGGCCCTTGATATCATTTGGAAGACTGTTAAGTTCCTGAAAGCCCTTGAAAAATAATGAGTTCATTGTACTGTTGAAATTCGTTCTTGGAATAAAGAGATGATCATTATTCCTTGTAAGGTAATCATGGATATCCCTATTAAAAACAAAAAACTGTTTAAAATAAGGTGGTGCTCACTTATTTACAATTTTGTATACAAATCTCATAGTAAGTGCATATAACTATTCTTAACAGAGAGCCAATTTAACGAGCTTAGCATAGAAGATACTGGCGTGAGACGCTGCGCTTTCAATATAACCCTCATGCCACGATTCTGGAGCTTCTGTAGTCTATAACTTTGGTTTAAATTAAACATGTACATCAATGAGGCACAAGAGTCAAAATGAGGCTGAATGCTAGTGTTATAAACAATAAGCTTTGACTGATAGGACAAACTTGCTGATAATCTACTAAAAAAGTACATTTTTTTGCTATTTTTTTCTCAATGTTATCACAATGGGATTGAAAGAGCTAAGTAAATTGTCAAGTTGCATTCCCAAATATTTAATACATGTTACAAATTCATTATCTATCAGTAATTGAGGATTAATATCTACACTTTTCTGATATCTATACTAAGATGCAAAAATCATTGCCATTGTTTTTGATACATTTAATTTCAATTTATTATTCCTCAAGTATAACTCTCTCTCTGGCAAGACCCCATTAATTTTTTCTATTGCTTTGCTGACATCATTATCACTGCAAGCCAAAAATGTATCATCGGCAAAAAGATTTATAAACTCACAGTTCACAAACATACTGATATCATTGATGTATAGTATAAAAAGAAGAGGTCCCAACACACTCCCCTGTGGTACTTCCATACTATTACTTATTTCACTAGATACCTCTCCATTAAATCTTACTCTTTGTTTTCTATTACTTAAATAGTCTGCAAACCATTCCAAAACACTACCAGCAAATCCATATTTTTTTAATTTTGACAACAAGATCGCCCTATCTATTGTATCAAAGGCCCTCTTCAGATCCAAGAATACACCCACAACTATCCTATTACTATCAACATCGTTTTTAATTTTACATAATGTCAACTGCCCCCGGCGAAATCCAGACTGGTTAGTTATCAGGATTCCATTATTTGTAATATGTTCCAAAACTTGATCATACACTGCCATCTCCAAAACCTTTTCTATAGGTGCCAATGTGTTTATTGGACGAAATTCACTGGCGTCCATAGTATTATTGACCTTCTGTATTGGAATAATAGTACTACACTTTAATTTACCAGGTACTTTACCAGTCCTAAGAAATGTGTTCAGAAGATTCAGAATGACATGACCAATATAGTTTCAAATATGGACCTTGGCATTCAACAATTCATGAACAGAACATTTATTATCAAGCCTATTTATTATTTTTCGAGCATCAGACATATTCAACAACCTAAACCTAAAAATCTCCAAATTCAAATTTGCATCAAAATTGGTCCATTTCTGACCATTTTGCATGCTTATGCCAATTCTTTCTATACTGCTAACAAAATAAAAGTTAAAATTTGCTGCAATCTCCGAACATTCTCTGAGAGTTTTCCGTTCATTATTAATGTCAAAGGAGATACAATTTGGGATCTTAAAACTACCTGTGCCAATCACACTCATAAGTGTCTTCCACATTTCCTTGGGGTTACCCTTAAATATATCTCTTCCCATAGTAATACCTTTCTTTCTTTAACCCAAGAAGATCAACCACGTTGTTCCTGTGAGACTTGAACTCTTGCCACTTATGTTGCTTTTTGTTATCATTTGCATTTCTAAAAATTTTGTAAGCCTTGTCGCCCTTGTCACAATCTTTAATTTTATCAAAAACTTCATTATAAAACCAAAGTAAGCTAGATTTATACTTGCAAGTCTCTACAGGAGCAACATCGTTAATTACCCTACCACAATTTTCCAAGAATTTATAAAAAACACTCTCAACATCAACAGAGTTCAAATTCCAATCACATAACAATAAATTAAACTTTATAATACTCATGTTTTTCTCACCAGTATTTCTATATTTTTTCACCTGATCATTTACGCATGATTCATTGCAGAAATTAACACTAATAACAGAGTGATCGGGAATCATTGGAACATCGTGTACCTCCAGAATAGTGTTTCTGTATTAATTTTTTTCCAAACCAAAAAGTGAAATTTGGTAAGCCTCTTTGGGGTAATTTTTTATCTGATAATCAGGAAAAAAGATGCTGGACAAAAACCAAAACAATTTTTCGTCAATTCCGCACTAAAACTGAAGCTCTAATCAAGCGATTACAAAACTATTTTCCAAAAAAGTCATTCGTATTTCCTGCCAAATTCAGCAATGAAATAGTTATGGGAAGTTGTGTAGCTCTTTTGACTAGAGTATAAATTTCAACAGCACCTTGCAGCCTTCATATCTGTTCAAAAATAATTATTTTGTTTCACTAATGGACCAGTCAGGGATTTTCATCTTCTTCAATTATTAAAAAAATCTAATTAATGGTTAAGATAAAACTTTATTTCCAGACACACCAACGAACGCCCGTTTGTCTGTAAAATCTGCAACAAAGGTTGTTTCGCAGAAAACAGCCTCCTAAAACACATGAAAATCCACGAGAAAAAAGAAGGAGATCCGGGCCTACTAAAGCACATTTGTGACTATTGCCGCACTGAATTTCCTGGCGCTGAAGCCCTATCGAATCACATTAAACAACATACAGGAGCAAAACCGTTCGTATGCAACATTTGTGGCAAATGCTTTCCGCAAAGATTCAATTTGGATTTGCATTTACGCACACATACAGGCGAACGTCCTTTTAAATGTGAAATGTGTAAAAAAGGTTATGTGTCTAAGGCTAGCTTGAAAATTCACATGAGAACTCACACTAATGAGAGACCATTTGCTTGTGAATTTTGTGGTAAGGCTTTTAGACAATCCGGAGATCTTACTAGCCATAAGCGACTGCATGGAACTGATAAACCTATTGAGTGTAGTGTTTGTCAAAAAAGGTGAGAATTTTACTTAATAATTGTCAGTACATATTTACATTAATTTACTTTTAGATTTACTACAGTAATGAAATTAAAATACCATATGCGAAATCACACAGGAGAACGTCCATATGTCTGTACAGTATGCAATAGAGGCTTCACCGTAAACACTATATTACTAAGACACATGCGAGTACATTCAGGTGAACGTCCTTATGTATGCGTCACTTGTGGAAAAGCGTTTTCCCAAACCAGTACTTTAAACAATCACATGAAAGTGCATGCAAACACTCTTAAAGCAGCACAGGAAAAGTATTCGCAAAATTGTCAACAGCTTCAGCAGCAGCAACAACAAATTATTATTGAGCAAAGTAATCGATTGATGGAAGGCAAGTATTTGACTTTTAATGGAACTCTTGAATTAAAAACTTTTATTTTGATATTACCCGAACTAATTACTACAAAAATTCGGTTATTTTTTTATGTGTGAGTCATACAAACAAATCTTAGACCGACTTGGAACAAAATAGAAAAACTACTTTGTTCCTTAATTTTAAGTTGAATGTCCCAACTTTGTACGTATTTTATTTCCTTTTTTCTAAATCAAGATGATAGCACTTATCACTTACACGAGTTCAGTCAGTACATGATCTAGCTGAATTTGTTTGAGTTTGTTTTACAAAAATTACATAATCTCTTAAATTTAGATTCTCGAATGTTACAACCACAACCAGAACAGATGCGTATGATTCAACCAGATACCACTCACGATACTTCAAGACTTATAGCTGATACTGCTCATCTTTTAGCCGATAACCGAATTATACAGGACGATTCTAGAAGTGTTCTGGATCCAAGATTGGTGGTCAATGTTGTGGAACCAACCAGATTGTTGGTAAATGACAGCCGATTAGTAACCATTGATAATAGGATGTTGCATAATGTAGATAATAGGAATTTGGAAGGGGCTCGAATTTTGTCTGATAAGTATTTGGCTTACGGATCATTTCATAGGGGGCAATTGTGAATATGTTAACACTGGGGTTTAGGTACATACAGTATTATTTAATTTTTATTCAAACACCTGACATGTTGCTGATTTTTTGATGTGTTTGACTGTGTAGATCATGGGAAGCTTTTATGGAAACTGCAATCCTACGGATTTAGAGGTAATGCTAATAACTGGTTCAAGAATTATTTGGCAGGCAGGACACAGAAAGTCTCTTTTGGTGATGCAGGGTTCTGTTTTGGGTCCAGCTTTACTTTTGTTATATGGCCTCGACATCTCTGGAGTAAGGGCAGATATTATATTAATTTGCGGTTGGCCGAAGGTTGATTTCAACCTAAGGTTAACCCGCACCTTGCACCGCGGTTAACCTTTGGTTGAAATCTCTGAACTAGGATGGATCTTGGATCTAGGTATGAATGATGCATGAAGTCTGTCTTGTTTTGTAACTTGAGTTATTCTGACCATTGACTATGCTGTGTCAATACTTCTTATATGTACACCAAAAACGCCGTTTCTAAAATGAAGATAGAGGGGAGGGTTAGTATGTATATTATTCGAACTAAATAATAGACGGCAGGAATCACGATAGCCCACCCCTGCGATGAAACGAATTGCTCTGTTTTGCAGAATTAATACATATCAACTAAAGGAAGACATGAACACTGTAGAAAAATGGACAACCACATGGCAGCTAAAACTAAATGAAAAAAAGTGTACAGTTTTACACATAGGACGAAATAACCCTACCAAATAAATAGCGTCGAATTCAGAAAAGTATCAGAACAGAAAGACCTAGGAGTCTATGTCACCGATGATCTGAAATGGGAAACCCATATATCCCACACAGTAAAGAAGGCCAATCAACTAATATACCTTATGAAATGAGCTTTTGATAAAAAAACGATACACCACTTGCATTAGACCAAAACTAGAATATAGCCACACAGTTTGGTCTCCTTACTACATCAAAGACATAGATCGCTTAGAAAGTGTGCAGAGAAAAATAACCAAAATTCCAATTGAACTTAGAAATCTGCCATACGGACTAAGACGACAAAAATTCCAGTTGACAACACTCAGAGAAAGAGGAGACCTAATTGAAACGCATAAAATCCTAAATGGCTACTATTCTACAGACCTAAAACTGGAAGATATGTTCCAAATGAATCCAAACTTAAACCTCAGAGGACACCACCAAAAACTTAAAAAAGAGAGAACTGTTCTTCTTGGAAGGAAAAACTTTTTAACCAATCATGTAGTCTATAAATGGAACTCCCTAAGCCCAGAAACGATAAGTGCACCAAACAAAAACATTTTCAAAAATAGACTAGACCAAAATCTTTGTACCATAAGCAACACCTTGGTGCATTATTTTTAAAGAAGTGTCAAAAATAAAAAACTAAAAGTGGAAAATCAAAAGCGATGGACTCATCGGTCTGCTTTCCATTGCCAAGAACATATTAATAATAATAATATTGAAACAAGGTTTGATTGTAATGTAGTTACCCCAGAAAGCATGAAAGCAAAATATATATTCGCTAGCTGTTTGGAGACAACGAAGCATCCCTTGGCAAATCTACCGCAAAGAGTAGAGGAAAAACAATGCTTTATCAATATGTAACTCTAAGAATTCAGGGCACTCGTACTAGGAAATCACGTCCCCTTATCTCAGCAGCACTATGTTAAAAGAAAGCAAATTAGAGTTAAACCACTGTCTTACCCTCTTAACTTCATCCTCAATAATTTCATTCATCCAACATGAAACCCCAGCATGCCATAGTATAGTGGTGCCATGAGCAAATAAAATGAATCTCCCCTTATTGTCCACAACAAAATGAGGAATGGGCCCAAGACAGAGCTTTGGGACACGCTACTTGTTATTTTCTCGCCATGCAGTTTCCTGTGACTCACACAGTCGAAAGCTTTTGATAAGCCACAGGTCTTCACTATTTGTACCAGAATTGTTCTGAAACCCATACTGGTCCAGTGACTGTTCAAAAATGATAGCATTTGTCGTCTTTTTATTTATATATTTTATTTATTAATTGAATTTTTTACATATTATTTTAACCTAGTAAGTAGGAAGTTAGTTCATAAGGCTGCTTTGTCAAAAACCATTTATATAGTTGATGATAATAAAGCATAATTTGATTTGATTTGACTTTGGACAATGGGAGTGAAAGGCTGATTGGCCATGAATAGTATCCGCACTCTGGAAAGTACTGTTTTTTGTTTTTTTTTGAATGAGCAAACCTGATTCCAGGGAAAGACGCCGTTGAGTCCAGGAAGACTGCGAGTCTGGAAAAAAATGTTAATGGGCATGTTACATACACTATTTTTCAGGCAACCAGATGAAATAAAAATAAATACACGCATATTTAATCAAAACTGAATCCGTCGCACATCATAATGTGTCCATCAGCAAGTTTAATATAAACTCAGTTCGTGTCATTGATGACGTGCAATGGATAGTTAAGGATGATTTGTATTTTGATTTTCATAACATATCTGATTTTTTGCCAACTATTGAAGGAATTTGGACTGGTTTAAGTACTTTCTGGCTGAGCCTAAGTCTGAAAAAGAATTGTTGTTGTTGTCTGTTATAAATGGCGTCCAAATGCCACTCAAGGCTAGTCGTCCATTGAAACCGTATTCGTCCGAGTAATAAGACGGCCGACTTAACGGCCGATTTGGCCGTCAGATCTCTGCTCGTCCACTGCAGCCAAATTACATCAGAGACAAAAATAACAAATTATTATTATAATAATTATTATTATTATAATATTATTATTATTATGTATTAGAATTCCAATAGCAGGCGGTCGAAACCGATGAAGCCATTGTTACTTTAACAAAATTTCAAAAGGATATGTGAGATTTAGTTTGTGCACACCATAATAAATTATTCTGAGTATTCTTTCAATTCTCTGTCAACACGATTTTTAAAAATATTAGTATTTGATGCTGAGACTGTATTTTGGCAAAGCAAATTCCAAGGATACTACACGGTTTACTATAAAGTTTTTCTTAGATAGTTTTGATGACCTTTCATTTTCAAGCTTCTTCGAATGGCCACGAAGATGAGGATTTGACATGGATGGAGAATATTTATCAGATTACACTGATAGTAATCACTGGTTATTTTGTAGGTTTAAATTGTCTCGCCTTTGTGCCAGAGCTGGGCAGGGCTTGAGTGCTTTGTGCTTGTGAAAGTGCTTGAAGCAATTTGAGGACTTGAAAGCCCTGTGCTTCAAGCCCTTTTATAGATTTGTAATTGGGGCTTGCAAAGTCAATTACTTTAGAAAAGTGCTTGGTAATTTGTAATTGAAAAAAGTAATCCAAGCCCTTTTAATGAGCTTCAATTACTTTTAGAGGGCTTGAAGCACTTTGAAAGGGCTTGAAGCGCTTTAAGAGGGCTTGAAGCACTTTTGGGAGCTTGAAGCACTTTGAAAGGGCTTGAAGCACTTTAAAAGGGCTTGAAGCACTTTAAGAGGGCTTAAAGCACTTTGAAAGGAATTTGAATTGACCATCATTCAACCTATCCCCCACTTAAAAATTTTCGATCGATGTGTTTTGTCGCTTAATTTTTTTTTCTATTATTTGAACATGAACCGTCTTATATTTTTTCTCTCTTACCAATGGAGGTTTTGGGTTTGAGCTTAGAATTGAATTTTAAAAAAATGAATGAACTTATTATTCAAATAAATAAATAATTAATTTATATTGGTACCCTATTTAACTTTATCACTGGATTTTTTGCACTTTTCCTCATTGAACATTTTGAAAACCTTAAAATTGAATTACCATGTAGTACCCCAACTACCCAGTACCCCAGAACTACATCTCAAAAAAAAAAAAACATACTACTTCTACTCTGTGAAATGTAAAGTTCATCTCTACTATACCAATTCAACTGATGAGTGTACGCGGTAGCTTATGCCACTTTGAGAATTTTATTACAAATTCAAAGTACTTTAGGCACATTTAAACAGCTTCAAGCACATTTAAAGAGCTTCAAGCACATTTAAAGAGCTTCAAGCACATTTAAAGAGCTTCAAGCACATTTAAAGAGCTTCAAGCAGATTTAGGGCCGGTATTATAAAACACTGAACCGATGGTTGAGTTTCAACCTTCGGTTGAATCCTATCAATTTGCATGGTTGCAAGGTTGAAACTCAACCATCGGTTCAGTGTTTTATAATACCGGCCATTAAAGAACTTCAAGCACATTAGAAGGGCTTCAAAGCACTTTTTAAGGCTCCTCAAGCACTTTTGATGTGCTTCAAGCACTTTGAGGGCTTTGTGCTTGTGAAGCACTTCTGAAAATAAAAAGGAATTTGTGCTTGAAATTGAAAGCACTTTGATAAAGGGCTTAGGGCTTAGTGCTTCAAGCCCTTTTACGGAGGGCTTTGCCCAGGTCTGCTCTGTGCCTTCTTTCTTTAAGGGATGTCAAATTCAATTTGAGTAATCTTTCCGGAACTGTTCCAACTGTGGGGGAATTTTTGTCACTCTGCGCTGAATCTTCTCAAGAAGTTCTATATCCTTAATGTAATATGGATTCCACACAGTATAAGCATATTCTTTTTTTGGCCTTATACCTATAGCTTGTGTAGATATCATCTCGATGGAGTGGTCTCTACAGGCATGGTTAATTAAGTATACATAGAGTTAGCTTTTTTACTTATTTTAAAATTATGTGATAGTTCCACTTCAAGTCGGTTGTTACTACAACTCCCAGATCAATTAGTTTTTTTACTGATGTCAAAACAGTCATTAGGAATATAACCTTTGTTAGAGTTATTTGGGCCAATCTTTGGTACTGTGCATTTTGAGGAATTCAATTTCATTCTCCATGTTTTTGACCACTCTTCAATGTTCAGTTTGAAGTAAATTCGCATCTATCAAAGGATTTGCATAGATTTTACAAACAATTTAACAAATTGGATTAGTTCCAAAAAGATAAGCTGTGAACAGCACCGGACCGATCATTGAACCCTGCACAACGCCACTGGTTACTGTATAGGGACTGGAAAGCTCTCCATTAACTCTCACTCGAAAAAATCTATCTTCTAGCAGATCCTTGATCAAGGCAAGCAACTTTCCTCTTACTCCAAAGTGCTCCAATTTTGTTGGTAGGCCATTGTCATGGTTGTTTGTCCGATCACTAGACATTCGTTAAGATTGGTACTGGTAAAACATTTTGGTAGAAATCCATGTTGGGCTGAAGGTATGAGATTGTTCTCTAGAAAGATATTAGTTCCTCAACTATAATTTTCTCCATACATTTCAGCGGGTTACAAGTAAGACTCGTGGCGATAATTTTCTGGTTGATGTCGACCTCCTTTTTTGTACAGTGGCGTGACAATGGAATATTTCCAAGGTGCTGGAATTTAATTTTTGTTTGAAGCATATATTCCTGCATCACCCCTGCAAGCAATGGGCTAATTATGGCACTACAGTTCTGAAGAGAAACTGTTGGGATTTCATCAGGTCCTGGGCTTGAGTCTTTTTTTCATAAATTTCAGAGCTTGTTCTACTTTATCAGTTGTAAATTGTATTTCTTCGATAGACCTCTCTACTCTATTGTCATGCAGGGCTAGAGCCAGATAAGCTTCAGTTGTAAAAGCTGTGCCAAATTGCTCCACAAATTTCTCTGCCATGGCTACACCATCCAGAAACTGCTCAGATGCAGGATCTTTTAAAGTTATGGTTGATAGCTTGGAATTCAAGTTTCGACTTATATACTTAACAGTTTTTTTGGTGAATCCGCATTGGCAAGATCATTTTCACACTTTCTCCAGGCATCAAGCAACTTCTGCTTAGTTTTGTTACTCTGTATCATGTAAGCTTGATAATTGTTTACTGTTTTATAGTTATCCCAAAATCTACGTTTCCTATCTATTTCCCTGGATAAATACTGGTTTATCCACGGTTTTTGTGGGTTAGTTTTTACTGGCTCGACCTGTATGTATTTCTTCACTGCATTTCTTATAACAGACTGGAAGTTCCCAAATTGTGGATCTACTTGTCTTGTTGGTTGGAATCTGATGAGGTTATTTATTTCCTTATAAGCTTGGCAGAAAATTTCATCTAGTTTTGGGTTTTGTTTAGGTGGAATTTTCAAATGTGTTTTTGCCTTAATCACCACATGATCACCGTGGCTGGAATCATGTCTGCAAATGAAACAGTTAAAATTTATTTCATTATTGAAATGGATAGTGATTGGTCCTATTTCTTAGAAAATTCGTAACTTGTGAGACTACGAGACTACGGAATCGAAAGGCAAAAAAAAAGTGTTGGGTCAACTCTATTTTAAGAAAAAGAAAAACTCTAGGTGAATTCCATCATTGACACGACGAATTGAAGAGAAACGGTGAACAGTTTTTCGACTATCAGAAAATGAGTATTGAGACATTTCAATATATCGTCGGCATCATATGAAAATTGCCTAAGTCCAAAAAGGTAAATTTTACATGAGGCGCAAAAAACCTTCGTGAAGAAAAACTACATGATACAATTGGATACAAATCACTGGCAAGAATGCATAAGAGAAATTGGACTTACGCAAGTTTCACTCTGTTTTAAGACGACGACAGACTTGTGCAAATTTCTTTTCATGGTTGTGTGACTTCATCTAACAATTAATCGCCTAAATATTTTGTTGGATTATAGATTATTAAGTTCCTCACAAGACTGCACTGAAATCTTAATTTTGAAAAAAATTGGACTTAGGCAATTTTCATATGATGCCGACGATATCTTAGATGCAAACGTAATTTTTTGATAGCCAAATGGAAGAAATATGTCCGACTAATCTGATCCAGATGGGATCTGGTCACTAGTCAGCCGTGGTCGGTGGCATTCGGCTGACCTGGTTCTTAGTAGCAGATGTGGGTGAATTACCTACGCTTGTCTTGGGATCACTTGGGCATGATCTGGCATAATGTCCGACCAATGACCAACTTATTACTTGGATGAATATGGTTCCAGTGGCGGACCCAGGATTTTCTTCAGGGGAGGGCGCAGGCTTGAGAATTAACAGTTATCACCAATGATTTTTTGGACATTTATTTTTACTTTACTTGTAGTACAGTTTCTTGTAGGTTAAAGAAAGTACAGGGTGGTCCAGTTTGGACCCTTTTGATAGGAAACGTCAATTTCTGAGCAAGAACAAAAAAATTAATCCCATACACTGAGGCTCAAATATCATAAATTCTTGATTGGTGCAAACACTGCAAACCGCATTTTGATATCTTCAACAGTTTTGCCGCTAGAGGATGTTTATCGAAGCACTAAGGTGAAACCTTCAAAACTTTTTTATTTCTGAGAATAATTGATTTCTGTATTAACTTTCTAGAAGTAATTTTTCAAGCAGAATCTAATGACGTACTCAATGTTTTTCTACTTGGTCCCAATTGTGAGATATTGACCAAAGTCTTTTAATAGGACGCCCTATACACTGTGGACTAAATTTATTTGGAACCCAATTTGGCTCTGTCTGCGAGTATTTTTTTTTAATTCGGCGGATTTTTGTTTTTACTTGACTCCCCTTGTATATTTTGATTAGATATTCTTTCCTTTCTTCAATTGAGGAAAGGCCCTCCTGATATTCACACAAAATTTCTGAAAAATCCGCCGAATTAAAAAATATATATGTATACAATGTGTCCAAGATAAGGAGGGCCAGTATGGGGATCTGGGAAACGGTAAAAGATACGAGGTCGCTCAAAATAGTAAAAAGTTGCGCCATTTTGTTCTCATTAAAATGACGCATTGATATTTTAAAAATTCCAAGTTCTACCGGAGATATCCGGAAAAAACCGAAATTCGCTCAAAATGATTTTATTTTTTCCTGACCTTATTTGAAGAGATATTTCAAAATGAGTGGCACTTCTTCATTGCCACTTTTTCTCCTCTATAAGATGCCACCATCATATTTAAAATCTGACGTTTCGTCTTTGGGCCAACATCATCAACTTTATTTTTTTAAATACGGACCCTTATTTTTTATTTTAGATTTTATAGGCTTTTGAAGTCTCAAAACCAATGGCGTATTGCACTTATTCGGAAAAATTATATTATTGGCACTTTCCATACGAACTAAATGTGTTAGAGAGAGACTGAGAAGCGAGTTTGGATAGGAAATTACTAAAAAGTAAAAAAAAAATATTTTTTCGAATAAATGCGATACGTCATAGGTTTCGGGACATCAGAGGCTCTTGAAATCTGGAATAAAAAATCAAGGGTCGTATTTAAAAAAATAAAGTTGATGATGGTGGCCTAAAGACGAAACGTCAGATTTTGAATTTGATAGTGGCATCTTGTAGAGGAGAAAAAGTGGCAACGATGAAGTGTCATTCATTTTGAAATATCTCTTCAAATAAGGTCAGGAAAAAATAAAAACATTTTGGGCGAATTTCGGTTTTTTTCGGATATCTCCGGTAGCACTCGGAATTTTAGAGATATCAAAGCGTCATTTTAATAAGCACAAAATTGCGCAACTTTTAACTAATTTAAGCGACCTTGTATCATTTACCGTGTCCCAGATCCTCATACTCGAGCTCATACTGGCCCTCCTTATCTTGGACACATTGTATAGCCATATCGGGTTCCAGATAAATTTGGCACACATTGTATAATAATAACTCATTGGACAGCTGTCTTTGTGCTTATTCTAATGGTATAAGGTTTAATAGGTCTATCCAAGGGTCTATCTCCAGTTTTGGAGAACAAAAAGTATACCTGTTTTAGTAGTTAGTATTGGTATCTGATAAAAACAAAACGATAAATTGAACAATGGTGTCAGATTGGCAAATTTTTCTTTAACATTTTATTGGAAAATTTTTCTATAAAATTTTATTGGAAAATTCTATAAAATTTTTCTAAATGTATATTATGATTTCTTTAAATATTTTGAGTTTTAAAGTCGTTTTTCTGGCTCTCAGGGGGGGCGCGCGCCCCCCGCGCCCCTCCCCTGGGTCCGCCACTGTATGGTTCTAATGGACGATTAGCCTTACTCCTAATAAAACAATATACTTTATTTTCTACTTTACTATTATAGATCCATAATACCTAGCAAACGAAATACGTTAACACACCTATAACAACCTGATCCATAACGCCCGCTTTTGAGGGCGTTATGATCTATAACGCCCGCTTATAATACCTTAAGGTGTTTTTGTTGTTGTTGTTCTATTAATTTGCACTTTACCCTAGGCAGCCACTAAATGTCTGACCGAAAATAATTTTCGGTCTAGCCAGGATTCGAACCCGGTCTACCATCAATGTTTCCCATGTAGTCCAGCGCGTTAACCCACAGGACCACCACCGTTGCCTTGCCTTATGAGATGTTTATAGATATATTAATTTATTTCGTTTCTATGTACAGGTCGCAGGTACAGGTACAGGTCACAGGTACAGGTACAGGTCACAGGTACAGGTACATGTCAAAATACAAAACAATATTCTGTCACACAAGTTTAACTGATTTTGTTAATAACAAATTGATGAAAAAACATTGTGTTGAGTAGAAAATAAAGCATTGTATGCACCACGGGGATTTCAAGATTATAATGCCCTTCAGGCGAAATATATCCCTCGGGCCATAGGCCCTCGGGCTAGTTTCGCCTTCGGGCATTATAATCTACATAATCCTCTTGGTACATAAATAGCTATAATGTCTGCCCAGCGAGTCTGTGTTTACGGAGTAACGGTAAGGGGAATGCAGTTGTAAATATTAATGGCTGATTTCATTCATAAAATACCCAGCTGCGTGCGGAACTTTTTGGAAGTGTCATCGTATTGCAACTCGTACACGAAAATTGACAATGACCAAACCCCCGCCACTGGATATGTCAATTTAAATCGATATTCCAAGATGGGAGGATAAAATGACGGAAGCCCTGGCCAATAGCGAGACGTAAGGTGACGTTAGCCCATTGACAACTGCCTGGTTCCCGTGGCAACGGCCATCCTGCCAAAAACTCCACCAATCAAGTTCATCCAGGCCGGATGCTTGCCAAATTGTCAAAAGCTGATGGTATCTTTAGAAAATGTTTATTTTTTACAATGGACAAAATTGAAGAAATCAGTTATTAAAATAAGAAAAATTTATTTGAGATTTACAACAAGCAACATGTGTGGTTTATCGCTCCTAATTGAAGTTTAATTTCTACCAGTTGTAGTGTTCGGAAAATCGCGATTTTTTGCACAGTGACGAAACTGATAATGATCCGCATAACTAACAAATTTGTGAGACCCTAAAGGCTGTGGATTGTTATAAAACCAATATAAACAGTGCAACTGAGAGGTCGCATTCCTGAATGCCGGCAGTGAACAAAAAACACGTTCTATATTTTTTGTTTCTTGGCCGAAAATGTGTAAATAATATTTAAATAAATATAAACAAATAGGTATGGCGGACAATGACCCAGGTGAGGGCAAGTGTGTGAAATGTAAACAAAAGTGCTCAGAGGATTTTTTTAAATGTGATTCTTGTTTAAATGAAATTCACAAAAAATGCGCAAATCTAACCCCGTCCGAAGTGAAATGCATGCCTCTCCAGAAAAGGGTATTGTTGTTGATTTGTGAGGAATGTAAGACGTTTATTGCCAGAATGCCCCATATGATAAAGCTAATGGAAGAGATGAAAAGAGACATAGAAGCCATAAAAAGTGATATGAAAACGTCTTTGCCAAATAAATCTTATGCGACTATAATTCAAAATAGCCCAAAAATCAAAGAAAGAACAAGCCTACCTACGGTCGTTATTAAGCCTAAAGTAGCACAAAACACTCAGAAGAGCAAGAAGGATATCCAGGATTCGATAAATCCAGCAGAGTTGAAACTTGGAATCAGAATCCTGAAAGAAACAAGGCAAGGAAACATAGTGGTGACATGTGAAACAGAACAAGACATGAAATTATTTAGGGAAGAAGCTGAAAAGAAATTAAATAAAAACTACAAAGTTGAGCTTCCGAAAAAAAATTTACCCAAATTAAAAATTGCGGGTTATTCAGGAGATGAATCAATTGAGAATTTAGAAGAAATGATTCGCAAGCAGAACAAATGGATTAATACATCAGTCCACCTTAAAGTCACTTACGTTAGACGCATAAAGAATGAAACTAAAAATAAACCGATCTCAACAATATACGCCGAAACTTCGGGGAACCTTTTGGAAAGGATGCTAACCTATGGAAAAGTTTACGTAGACTGGCAGCGCCTGCCAGTATATGAGTACCTGACAGTATCTCGCTGTTATAAATGTCAGGGTTTTGGTCACAAAAGCTCCAACTGTACCAAAATGGAGGTCTGCGGAAATTGTGCAGGGAATCACAGTACACTTGGATGTGAGAGGCAAATGAAAAAGTGTGTAAACTGCAAGATGGCCAATGAAAACCATAACCTACAGATAAGCACGGATCACTCAGCCCTTGACCCAGAATGTTCATCGTTAAAATACCATCTAGGACTATTACAAAACAGAATCGACTACAACTCATAAATAAATGGTACCTATACAACGCTCAGGATGAGATGTTGGAACAATTAGGGGAAGAAAATAATCTACAAGGTAAAATGGTGGACCAGAAGGGTCTAGAGCTTATCAAAAATAAAAAAAATGCTTTTTTTAGTCTAATACATTTTAACATTAGAAGTCTAAATAAAAATATTGACAACTTGCTTACTTTTATAGAAGTATATAAATTACACTATATAGATATCATTGTGCTCACTGAAACCTTTCAAATTGACTCGATAAAAACTGTAACATACCGGATTATCAGATATTCTATAATGAAGCTAGTTACAACAAAAATGATGGCACAATAATTTTGGCTAAGAAACATATCGATGTTAAATTTTCTATTACTCAATTGAAAAATTCAAGAGCGACTCTCAGTCACATAAATTTTGAACAAAACAACATAATATTTGGTATAACAGCAATATACAAACCACCACCTATCTCAAGGACAGATTTTATGAATGATATATATACCTATTTTGAAACTTTGACCTTTTCAAATATTGAAATTTTTGTGGGAGATGTCAATATTGACATTTTGGAAAAAAATGATAATCACGTTGCAAACTATCTCTCTTTGATGAACACACTTGGTTTTCGATCATACATTAATTCAGTTACGAGACTTTTATCAAAAACATGCCTAGATCATTTATTCATTAATACGAAATTTAAGTCTGGTAATATTAGTTTTGACTCTTATGTTATTGAGGAAGACATAACAGACCATAGCCCCATTGTGCTTCTGGTAAGTAAGAAAAAAATATCTAATGATCCTAATCTAATATCTCCACTAGAAAGTAAAACGAAAACTAAGCTGAACATTCCTAAATTTAGGCAACTTTTGCAAAGTTTTGATTGGACGATTGTAATGAATAGTAATAACTCAGAAACGGCAACAAATATTTTTTTAGAAAATTATACCCAATTGTTATCAGAAGCTACAGAAAAATATACTATTAAATATAAAAAATACAGAAAAATCAAGAGTTGGATTAGCACCGGTATTATTTCTGCAATTAAAACTAGAGATAAAATGAAAAAAAAACTATCGAGAAACTATAGCCATCAATTAGAAAAAGAATATAAAGAGTATAGAAATACTTTAAATAAATTAATTAATAGACAAAAAAATGAATATTACAGGAATCAAATTGAAAATAATAAGAATGATATGAAAAAGCTTTATAATGTAATTAAAGATGCAACTTATGAGAACAATACAAATAATAAAACTTCTTTAAATATTATGAATAAGGATAACAAAAGTTTCAATAATCCAAACGAATTATCAAATTTTTGTAATGATTATTACATTAATGTGGGGGTGGAAATGGAGAGGTCCATTCCAACACCTCAGGAAAAATACAAATTAGGACCCCCTCTGGTAAGCTCCATTTTTTTAAACCCTATAACCAAAAATGAATTAATTAACCATATATCAACTTTGAAGAATGGCAATGCTCCGGGGTATGATGGGCTAAAAACTGACATTATAAAACACACTCATTTAGAAATTATTGACCCCCTCTTATATATATTTAACCTTATCTTGGAAACTGGAATAATACCCCTTGCATTTAAAACTTCAATTATAACACCTATTCACAAATCAGGCTCTAAGACTAACATAATTAACTATCGACCCGTTAGCCTTATTAGTAACTTTGGAAAGCTTTTTGAGAAATGTGTAAAGGTCAGATTGGTTAACTTTTTACAATCAAATAAAATCTTATCTCCAAACCAGTTTGGATTTCTTGAGGGGTGCAGTGCCATAGACGCCATGCACAGATTGATAACAGAAGTGGTTAATAACTTGAATTCAAATAAAAAATGTTTAGCTGTATTTCTTGACTTGGCAAAGGCGTTTGACACTGTACCTCACAATTGACTTCTAGAAGTGCTCGAAAATTGTGGAATAAGGGGAAAAGCTCTGGGCTTGCTTGAAAGTTATTTGTCGGAACGAACTCAAATGGTTAAAGTGAATGATGTTTTGAGTGAAGGGCAAACTATAAAGATTGGAGTTCCACAGGGAACAGTCTTGGGGCCGGTGCTTTTTATAACATATATTAATTCTTTATTAAAATTACAAGTTGATGGAATCACTATTTCTTATGCAGATGACACTGCCCTTGTGGTCTCTGGAGATACATGGGAAAGTGTTAAATGTAAAACTACAAGCAGTATGATAAGAATAAGAAACTGGCTTCAAACATTTAAATTAACGCTAAACCTAACAAAAACACAATATATAGCTTTTTCACTCACTAGCGCAAATAGACCACAATATAATAACATTGTTGTTGATGATCATTGTATTGAAGAGACCTCCTCAATAAAATACCTTGGAATTGTGATTGATAAGTTTCTTAAGTGGCTGCCCCACATTGACTATGTCTCTAACAGAATTCGTAAACTTATTCATAAATTTTACCTATTAAGAGAATTCTTGAATAAAGAAACTCTTATCACAATTTATAAAGCCTTTGTAGAATCAATCATAAGATATGGAATTTTGGTGTGGGGTGGACTCTATAACAATAGCCTCTATAAATTAAATATAATTCAGAAATATATTCTCAAGATTATTTATAAGAAAAATCGATTATACCCTACACAACTGCTTTTCAATGAGGACATTCTGAGTATTAGATCAATCTATATTTTAACAATTTGCTCATATGTTCATATTCACTCTAACTTGAAACAACTGTTGAACCATACTTATGGAACGAGAACTATAGTCTGGCAAGTGGTAACTTGGTAGAGACGAAAGGGGGAAGAAAAGTGGGGCGTGACCTAAAAATATTCACTGACACCTTAACTGACATCACCTGATGACAGCCATGTCTTTCGGTTCAGTGGCACCGAAAACACCAAGGAAATAAACCAATAAAATTATTAGAAAAAAATTCTTTAGTTTCGCCAATAACCGCGCCACTGCGTGCTGTCGTTCAAACTCTAACCAATAGAATCATACCTCTGAATAATCACGCCTCTCCACATCCATCATTTCGCAATGTTGCCGGATTTTTTTCTATTTCGAAATACTACACATGCCCATATAGCAAAAAAAAATATGTCATCAACGTGTTTATCATTATTTCCGTCAAGTTTGGCAAAGTAGCAAATTCTTTTGCAGTTCGCCGTTTCGCTAGCCAGACTATAGAGTAGATGGTCATATTAAACTTCCAATAAGCAAAAATAATCTTAATCTCAGATATGTGAATTATTTTGGCCCTAAATTTTACAATTTATTGCCAGGTGAAGTGAGAAATTGCGGTAAAATAAATACATTTAAAACGCATAGCAAGAAGGTGATTTTCGAAAATCGACGTCAATTTGAAGGGTTTTTTGGCTAGCATTATTGGAGGGGGAATTGCCTTTAATTGCCTTTATTTCCTTGGATGTGAGAATTTTTATAGGATTAGGATTGGGATTAGTTAGTAAACGCACTGTTGTTGTTTATTGTTTTTTTTTTTTCTATAAAGTGAAAACTTATTAGCATTTATAAATAAAATAATAGGAAACACTGCACATACAGGATGTTTACATCTAGGTGCAACATACAAAAAAGTCTGCGACTATTTTATATTGATTTAGGATTGGTGAATTCTGTATTTTTTTTTTTTTTTTTGTAATATTTAAGAAAATGGAATAAACGCATTTCTAGAGGATGTTTCTCATGGAAATAAAATGAAAATGAAAAAAAAATGAAATCTAACAACCACGTTGAAATATTTAGCGTTTTATTGTTATCTATAGAGTTCAGAAACGGTTTCTAAGGTATATTGCCTATAAGATGCATATACCATCAGAAGAGGTCTGCTACAATGACCTGTTGCGGTTGCTGGGTCTTTCTAGTTTAGAGGCACGTAGAAGGAATTATGATATTTGTTTACTTTTCAAGTTGCTTAATAACTTAATTGACTGTCCCCCTTTGTTGAACAGCATTTCCCTGCGTGCCCCTGTGAGACAGACTAGGCAAGTGCATCTTTTTCATAGCGAGTATCATAGGACTAATTATGGTTTTTTCTGCCCTATGGCTAGAATATGCAGAGAAGCTAATCAGCTACCCAACAATTTTGATTTTTTTGGCATGTCTCTGAAAACTTGTAAACATTTGTTAAATAGTCTGCAGCGCTAAATGTCAGTGTATTTATATGTACCGTAAATGTTAAATTTTAAGTTCTTGTGTTTTTCGTTAATATTATAACGTCATATATTTTTGTATTATGTTATTTACTGTAAATGGCTTGTCCGTTAATAAAAGTTTATTTATTAGTTTATTTATTATATTTTGTTATTAAAAAATGGATTTTCAAATGAACTAGGGTGAAAGTACCTGTTGTCGGCCACTTAAGGCAAATTCTGGAATAAAATGGCGATTGAAAATTAGTATATAGAGCGAATGGAATTTAAATTATGTTTTATGATACCTTATAGTATATTAAATTGATTAATGCAACAAAAAAGGGCTAAAAGGTTTTGCATTTTTATAGAAAAATGCTTTTATTCAAAAACGTGCATTTTACCGGTTGTCGGACAATCATCACATTTCTCGGACACAAAGGGACCCGTTGTCGGACGCGTGTCCGAGAAATACGTTTTTTCGTCCACATAAACTATTACACGCTAAATGGTACCAGTTTGGGCACTTCTCACAGCCAATATTTTATTTTGGAATTTTTAGTCAATTTTCTTTTTCTTCCATTATT